GCCTCACTACTGAGTCAACGGTAGCCTGGAAGTCGATCGGCGGGAACACCCGACCGGAATGAGGAACGCCTCACTACTAAGTCGACGGTAGCCTGAAAGTCGATCGCCGGGAACACCCGACCGGAGTGAGGAACGCCTCACTACTAAATCGACGGAATGCAGGAAGTCGGTTGTCGAGAACACCCGACCGGAGTGAGGAACGTCTCACTACTAAGTCGACGGTAGCCTGGAAATCGATCGCCGGGTACACCCGACCGGAGTGAGGAACGCCTCACTACTAGATTGACGGGATACAGGAAGTCGGTTGTCGGGAACACCCGACCGGAGTGAGGAACGCCTCACTACTAAGTCGACGGTAGCCTGAAAGTCGATCGGCGGGAACACCCGACCGGAGTGAGGAACGCCTCACTACTAAATCGACGCAATGCAGGAAGTTGGTTACCGGGAACACCCAACCGGAGTGAGGAACGCTTCACTTCAAAACCAACAGGAAGTGACAGGAAGTCGATTACCGGGAACACCCGGCCGGAGCAGAGAATGCCCTGCTACTTTTCCGACTGTCAGGTCGGGAGCGAGTACGACTAGAGTTTCAGAGTATGCCATGAGGCTTGTCCGAGTCGTACTCGGGGAAATGGTGCTGGTCTGTTTCGCTAGCCGGCTTTTATACCGGTCGCGCTATCCCCACTCGTGGTGCTACACTATTCGGCAGCAACCCCTTCTCGGGCTGTTACGGCCGAGTTGGGGGATCGGAATGCGGCCCGCGATGGGGGGTGTTTACGCGGAGCCCGATCGGCGCTTAGTAACAGCGCGTACTGTTACGAGCTCCTAACTTTAATCCTTCCTAATATGGCTAAAAAGTAAGATATCGAAATTTAAAAAAATGCATTTTGTAGGGGATGAACAATACATTCATGATTTCTGATCAAAATTTCAAGATAACGTTAACCTTTCTTACAAAAAATATCAAATATTGCAAAAAATCCATTTTTTACATATTAAACCTCAATTATTTTGGAAACTTAACGTGCTGGTGAAATTTGGTTTGCGGCATCGTTTTTAGCAACCAAAAATCTGTAAGAAACACCTTGTTTGGTTGAAAATAATTTTTGGCTGTAAACTAGTGTAATCGTTTGAAAAATTATTGTTCTCACAAACGTTCCAAGTAACGACTTTTCTTTCTTATTTAGATGCAACGCGTGCACAACAAAGGGAACGTTGTGCAGAAAATTAAATTGCAAGTAATAGATATCATTAAACATCATTACACAATTCTCTGGTAATAATTTTAAGTAATTAATCACACACACACGTGTTTCCACGGTGTCTCCGCGAAGTGAAATATAACAATGTCGTATTCAGGTTCTGCGATTACATGGAGACAATTTTTAGTCCGATGTTGTTTCTGCAAACGATAGCCAGCAGTCTCATAATCTGTCTAGTGGGTCTTCAGGTTGCAACTGCGAATATGGACGCGGGCATAATTTCTAAATCGGTGAAATATATCTCGTACTTGCTCATGGCACTTTTCCAATTGCTGCTGTTTTGCATTCCCGGGGACGCTCTGATAAATGAGGTGTACAACAACGGACTAAAATTAATAGAGAATGTAAAAGAACATAGACAGACAAATATTATATACATTTTTTTATATCTTACAGAGTTCCATGATCAGTAGAGTCGTATACACAATCGCTTGGTATGAATTGCCGGCTTGGTTTAAAACGGAAATATGTCTGCTCATGTTGCGTAGTCAAAAACCTAGTAAAATTACGGCAGGAAAATTCTACGTTATGCATTTGGAGAATTTCAACGCGGTAAAAAAATATCACTTCAATGTTTTATAAAATTATTTTCGCACGTACATTTAAAAAGTAATCTACAATCTATTCTAATTTTGGCTTACAGGTGTTGAGCACTGCTGTCTCATACTTTATGTTGCTTCGAAGTTTCGGCTCGGACGAAACTAATGAGAAATTATAATTTGATGAGAAATTGAAGATGTGATTAATCTTTAACTACTACCATGAAATTGATAACCGTAACCACATGGATGTTTGTTGAAAATAATTAACTAAAATAAAAATAACTTTTTGAACAACTTTGTGTTCAAGGAGCGCAAAATTAAGCAATGGGAATTAAAAAAGAATTCATTGCATAGTAATAGTTCAGAAGACGAAGATATAAAATAAGCATTGCGCGTGAGAATTAATCGCTCTGAAGCGTCAAGAGGTCGTCTGCGATCCATGATGGTAGTCAAAGGTTAAACATAAAATGAGAGAAATAACATTAAAAATGTAAAAATAAAATAAGTTAAAAATTATGTGTGGAAGTTTCGATGATAATAATTACTGTTCGTAGGCTCTTGTCCTGTAAGGATAATCGTGTCAAATACTCATTATAGATATGCACCCCAGCCGAAATACATTTGGCACAGATTATCCGTATTTGTCGCTTCTAAAATCAAGTGATTGGTTTGTCCCTCGACGCTGAGATGTAACGCAATATTTTCCGCCTTTCTTCCGGGATATCGAACCAAGCCTTTCAATCGCTGCTCAATATTTTTTATATGCTCTACAGCCTAAAACAGGAATAAACGCATTATTCTTCTTCCTTGTTCTTACAAATTAATACAAGAAAATGTATTTGTTATACTTTTTCATTAGTTTTTTCAGCTGCTTCACCGGGCTGATTCCTATTCCAGCTGACAAGGGGGTCGTACACAAAAGGCGTGAGCACGCTCATCAGTGTACTCGATTCCTGCCGAAGTACTCGCATCGTAACTTGGCAGGCGCGTCTGAACGGTCCTTCAATTTTTAGAGGACCCATAGCATCTACCATGTTGTGTGTTAAACGAAACGGCACGCGTTCAGGCCAATCAAACAGTTCGCCCTAAGAATTATAATATTTAATACGATAAAATAAATCAAATTAATACTTTCACAATATATACATACATAATAAAAATGATTGCCTAAGAGATTTATGATTTGAAACTAAATATTTTGTCTTATTCCTCAAATCATTATTTAATTACGCGTGAGAGCTACATTACCCTGTTGAATAAGCAATTGAAGTCGACGTGTACACAATCCCCGCACTTGGAATCGAATAATATATTTTCTCCGTGGCGATCACCGAGTCCAAGTATGTATCCCACCATGGACATAACAGCGGTGGTCCTGGTGTAAGCCGTGCGGGCTTCGTACCTTTTTTTCAAAAATGGAATATTGAATATCCGCATTCACGGAAGAGTGCGAAAAATATATAAGATATATTCTGTACCATCCATACGGATCAGGAAACATAATGCGAAACCAATCTCCGAATACAGGAGGATGCCGTGGCAATAGCTTCTGTAGAAATATCTGTCTTTTCTTTTCCAACGGGTCTTTCAATGCTAGCGAAAAGATTTTTGAAGAGAATCGATCCTTCGTTTTAAATTGTTATAATTTCATTGCGACTTACTACATATATATGTCTTGAGTTCCCTATTTGTTAGCGCGATGCCTTTCTCCTTGTACAGATTCATAATAGTAGGTCGAAATCCAACCAAGTTGGGCACCCACTCTATTAAGCCGCATTCTTCGTTCAACGGCACCACGCTCTGCAAATTTCGGGAGAATCAATGATATATCGAAGTGAGATCTGGGCGATGTCACTGACAAGTCTTACGTATGTCCGAATGTAGAGCCTTCTTTGTCGCGACTCCGGATCATTCTGAAGATACTTATTGACGATATCGTTAAACTCCATCAATCTGAAATCTTTGCGTAGATCGTCTTTCGGCTTGCACATGAAAAGATACTGTTTGCCGTCCGATCCTCTCAACGTGATTCGTCGCGGCCGTTGAAGCGACGGCATTATCATCACGTTTTCTTCTATCTTTGTTATGTGCACCCATCTCCTGCACGTCAGACATACAGAATATAATGATGGTTACAGGAAAATAGCGTTTTAACAATACCAAACCGCAATACGTACAATAAGAATGGATTATGATTCTTCATCGAAGCGTTCTTGGACGGAAGGTGTAGTTGCCTGAATTTTGTCGTCGGTATCATGATCGCGCTGAAATCCTTGCTTGCGAGTAGTCTGGGCAAATTTTTCGATAACACATTCACCGTGGTGTTCAACGTTCCCTGTTGTAAAGTCGAAAAAGCGTTACACGCGTTACTTTTCGACAGATCTCGTATTGTTGACTGAAAATGAAACTTACATCTGACACTGGTTTATTAGACAACTCGATCAGCCTTTCCCAGAGTCTGTGGAAATCCTTAATAAGCTTGGACATGCTTGACGTTTTCAACTGTGCGTGGTTCAAGATCTCTTGACACCGCTTCTGTCGCGCCGGGTACGAAGACTATAAAGTGAGAAGAATGCGTTTTATATTCTTGCCGATGTCGCGCTCGATCGAAATGTATATTAATAAAGTACGTTAAAAACTGATGCCATCATCCACAAGCAATGCTGAGGATACGTCGAAATGAGTTTCACTAGAATTGTGCAAAGGGTGCTCTGCACTTGCGGAGACGGATGACAAATCCTCGATACAAGTTGGCTGAATGCCGTCAGCCACATGAACGTCGGTAATCTGTGATGATAAACCTCTGTGATATAAAAAAGAGAAACCGATTAGATTTATATTCTTTACACAAATCGACTCCTTACGGAATCCGCAAAAATTATTATGCTACTTTCATCGATTCACAAACCCATAATCTGAGTCATCTTCGTCAGACGATCTTGGCGAAGTTCAATGACATCCGGTGGATCCGAAGCTAGTGTGGCGCGAGAAGCAACATCTAACCAGACGGTCAGCATCTTTGGCATCGAATGATGAATGTACTTGCAACCGTACTGAAGCGACTTGCCGTAAAAGTTCAACATGTGTATTTGCAGATCTCTGTCGATAGAGAAGACAAATTATTGCAACTTCAATTGCGACGAGATTGAACAGTGTCGAATCAAATTTACCGCCTATTTCTATCCTTGTCTTCTTCAGACATCCTCTCAACTATAGTATTATAATATTCGGCACATGCCAACCAACTTTTTTCCCACCCTCTCCATACTTCTATCGCTTCCTTGTAATTAAGGATGGAGCCGTCCGTGTCGACGTTGAGAGTTTCATCGTTATATTTTGCGAAAAGTAGCTTTGCCTGAAATGAAAAAGCGCGAATGTAATTATAAATAGCTCATCTGACAAAGTAATCAAATTTTAGAATTACAAACCTTCGCACACTGTTTTCTTTCTTCGTTGCAGTCTCCTGAAGATAATTGTTTATAATATTGCGCTGGTTGGAAACAATTTGAAAAACAACGTTTTAAAGTAGTGAAGGCATCTTCCTGACAGCCCTTCTGCCAATATAATTGAGCTTGTTCTATGTACAATGGCTGCGGCGGGCACGAATCGCTGGCAGATAAAATATGCATGTACGCTTGTTGGTGAAAACCGGCTCTAAAAACGATCCGTTTAATACAAAATTACGTTCTATTTGGAAGTAATACAAAAAATACATCGAAATGTTTATACATGTCACACGTACTTTCTCGCAATTTTGGCGCTTTTCAACCAAATTTTACCAATTTCTTGCTTAAGCATGGAATTTTCTGTATTGTGCGTTTTCTGTTCCAACTGTACAGCTAAATCCAAAGTGGCTCTTCGCATACTCAGAACGAACTCCACACCACGGGATGCTCTCAACAACTGCCCGCGTTCCTCCCATTCTTCCAGTATCGTCGGCAGGCTTTCGGCATTGTTCAACATCATCGACACTGCCTTATCGAATTCATTCAATATGTGTAATCTGAAAATAAAACGTAACAAATAAATCTTAGAAAACTATTACAAAAATTAAGAAAGATAAGAAATATTTAGCGCTCACTTCATGATATGCGAGTAACTCTGTTGATAAACTCCCGGTCGAGACGCATCTTCTAGCAGCTGCACTAAATTTTTCTTTAACGACAGCAGATCCGGCTTAGTCCCTTTTATGAGATCGTCTAGCAGCACGTGTTTGATATTCTTTTGCGACGTTTCTTCAAATCGAGAGAAGTGAGCGAGCCTCCAGAAAAGCTCGCGTTCGGTTATGAGAGGCTCTAGTTCCGGTCTGCCAGGAGAAGATGTTTGAGTTTATGAATAATTTAACTATGCGTTTACTTTTATTATAGTAGTATTACCTGCTACTCAACAGGCCCTCAGTAATATGCTTGGCAGTGAACGGTTGATCCAGCCCAAGATAACATTGAATCATGCCTTGTAAGTACGTATGTTCCAAGTTTTTGTTCTGTACGAGCCTTTCGTAGCACGTAGCTGCGTCCTAAGTGAATTAATGCAAGTATTTTCCTTGTAATTCCAACATAAGCAATAAAAGCATGGCTTCCAACTACAATTGTCTCAATATTCCAGCAATACCTGAAGCTGTCCGTTGACTTCATGAGCCACGACTAGCTGTTGCAAAGTAGGGAACTGATCCTGGGTCGCCAAAATACCGGATACACCGTCGGGCTCATCGAGTTGCGCGTAAATTTTCTATAACAAATAGTATTTTATTGAGGAATATGCTACATGTGCTATGCCAAAGTACAGAACGTTACGTACGGCGAGTAAACCACCTTCCGTCAGCTCCGACAAGCCTTTATTTGTAGAAGCCATGTGCTGTTCCAGATACATCAATGCTCGATGGTATTCCTGTGACTGGTAACAACCTTTTGTCACTACTAAGCTATCTAATCTGTCACAAAACCCTAATGAAATAAGCAATCAGTTATAAATAGTTTGTAGAAAATATATACATTCTTTGTAAAGAAGTGAAAACATATCTACGCGTAATACAAAAAACTTTTCATATAATCCATGCGAGATAGACACCTTTCTTACGTACTTTTTATCGCCTCGTATCTGCTGTCTTGAAACAGTCTTCGTTCCCTGAGCCATCTTTGCAAATGGTCCAATATGCAGAAAACTACCTGTTTGACGAATGAAAAAATTTAATAATAATACTAAATTGACGTATAAAATCATGCAAAACTATATTAACCCGAGAGTAGCGTGTACGCCTGGTTTCCTCCGAGATTCTCTCATCATCAGCCTTCACGCTCTGTCCGTATTGCAGTGGTTGGTGACGCAAGAGTTCAGGATCCAACACGGGCTTCTCTCGCTTGATCACGGCTAACATCTCTTCTCTGAGTTTAACATGTTCCTCTTCTCGATTATTTGCGATTATATACGCTGGCGAAAATGAAAGAAGCAGCACATAAGCGCACACGCTACAATAATCATAAACGTTTAAACATATCAGCGCTCAAACTTACACACGATGTAGGGCAGACAAAATATTAATGTTTTTATATCGCGCTTGAATGCCAATTTGCATGCCTGCAATACTTTATTGAGTGTCGTATCGCGTACGGCGCTGGACATGCTGCAAAGCCAGTTGTAAGCCCAGCTTTCGACCGAAGAATCTGCTTCAGAACTATAAAGATGTTAATTATCGATTGTAAAAAAAAGCTTAAAGAGTATTTCTTGTAAAACATACTCATAAATAGGATGTGGAAACTCATCGTCGTCACTAACGGTCGCTATCTTATAATGTGACGTCAAGAATGGAATAATAATCTGTTGCATCGTAGACGGCAAATTATTCCACAATTCACTATTCTGACCTTGCGGAGAAATGTCGTACGCTTTCAATATCTCCTGAAAGTGTCGATCGCGATTTAACAGACCAGCGATTTCATTGCAATTGTATGTATAAAGCCTGCGCGTGTGTAGAATTACATACCTGTATAGCAAGCGAGAAGCAGTCCATACTTTGGCTATTCTTCTGCATTTGGAAAGCCCGCACGTGTTCCAGGAGTAGCGCGCACGCAAATTTTTCATTTATGTCTGATATAAATTTGCTGTCCTCTGCGATATAAAAAATTCAAGAAGTTTGCGAAAGATATAAATTACTTATTCGTTGTAAGAAATAAAGTACCTCTGGAAATAATCCTTCGCGGAAGAAGACTCGGTTCAATCGCTCCCAACTCTCCGAGACATTCGCCGTAACATAAACGGATCGATTCGTCCTTGTCCTGACATCCAATCAGTAGAGTATCCAACAGCTTTAAAAAACGAACGACATAAATAATATATGCGCAATATTAATGCTTATGTGTAATAATAATGAACACACTTCAACGATCAGTGGATGGACGTCCGTTTCGCTTAATATCATTCTGTTCAGCTCACTGCGATGTTTCTCCAAAAACGTTTGCAAATGCTTCAGAGCCCTGATTCGCACTTCATCGGTTTCGTGAGTAATCCGTTTCAACCATAACATCAAATTGGCATTAAATCCCTCGGGTCTGAAATTGAACAAGATTCTTCAGAGATGCATTTTCGAGATACGATGCGATGAATTTGCAATGCTACTCACCTCGCCTGCAAGATACGTGCCTTGACTATGTTAGATATATGAGTGGGAACGTCCATGTCGTCTATGAAAAATAATTCCGAAATGTGGCTGCTGTGCTCTCCGCTATTTTCAACAATCAGAAACTCTAACATACTGTTGACCTTTTCAGGAAATATCTTCTGCAATGGTATCAGTGACACGCATATCGTTGGAAATAACGTTCCCAAGTCCTCGATGGCTATGCTGAAAGTAAGTTTGGAGAATTATTATTCTGCAACAACATAATTGACATTTCACATATTGTTATCTTCGTCCGACATACACTCGAACGTACTTGTGAATAAACGCATCCCACGCTTTACAGACCAACGTTGGGAAACCAGGTCTCTTGAATCCAAGCGACGTTCGTAATGTGGCTAAAATTTTGTATCTCAGCGGAGTCAAGTAAGCAGCACCCATGTAACGAATTAGAGCAGCCAGTGAGGCAAGCGCGGATTGCTGTGTATATTCGTCTGATTTCGGACCGAGTTTTATATCGAAATTTACCAATATACCGTGTAGCCGTAGATTCAAATAAGCTGCCTGCGAATACGTACGAATCCTTGACAATTATTTCCTAATTAATCGATTTTATAATATCAATATTAAAATACTCACAACTTCTTCTTGTGTACCGAAATTTCCTTTCTGATTGCTATCAAATTCAGAAATAATTTCTAAGAAGTTCACTATTTTTTCGGGAGATTCGTGAAAATTCAACATAAGTTCCTCGAAAATTCCCTACAAAATTACATAAATATATCTTTTAAACTGATTGATAAAAATTAAAATTATTTAATGACATACCATAAATGACTGTTTTGTAAGAACTGCAAGACTCATTTTTGTTATTCTTGATACAAGTTTCAAACACCCTGTAGCTATGCGTAGAGGTGTTTCTAAAAATGCATAACTGCAAATATACTAAAAAAAAAAACAGAAAATAAGACATGTAGATAAATTTATATTAATCAAATTAAATCATTGAACGCATTTTATATACCGGGAAATATTCTTGAAGCATTTGTTCCTTGTCCATGCTTATCAACTCTGCTATATCGTTTAAAAGTACGTTTGCTTTTGGATTTTCAACGACAAGAACGATCAGAAAGCAGATTGCGTAATGACCGTCCTTGCGCAGCAATTGACGCGATCCTTCGTAGCCTATGCATTTGGCGATCCGGTGTACCGTAGTTGCCATGTTGTACGAGAAATCTATATAATTGCTGACTGCACGTTCCATTATAAGCTGTAAGAAGACAAATTGATTAATGAAAAAAAAAATATCACAACATTGTTTATATAAGAAATTACCTTTAAGAAACTTTTTCGATATCGGATGTACAAAGCTTTTGTAGAGACATTTAGAAAGCTAGCAACATCCTGATATGCCATTGTGGCGGATGCTACAGCTGCGAGTGAGGAATTTAGATGTAATATTGTAATTAAAAATACATTCAAAATCCTTCCTTCCGTTATATGCAGTGGAACGCTGAAAAATAAAGATATAATTTAGTATTTATGCAGATTTTCTTTGTAAAATTAATATTCTTACCATACAAAGTTCTTTGCAGTGTCAAGTAACGTATCGTGCAAGGAATGGTTGGAGTTATTCAATGCAGTCATAAGAGTGTTGGCTATAACATCGATTACTAGATCGACATATTCGTCCAAATCGTCTGGCACGGTGTCCGGCAGGCATTCGCTTTCCAACGTGGAAATTTTGTTACTCAATAATCGTCCAATTACCGACGCAATGTTCGATCGGATCTCAACATTGTCATCGTGTATGTAAGAAAGCCATTCCTTCGTTACCTCGTTCGAGTTAAATGACTTTATATGATTTGAAAGAGACAGGATACTCTTAGACATATGCAGGCGTATGGAAACGTTAGTCGAAGAAAGTAATTTGAAGTATGCGTTAAAAATATGATCGTGGTCTCTTGGCAAAAAATGTACACTGGATTCCGTATTTTCTTGCGTATTCTTTGTACAGCATTCGCAATATATTGTCCACTTCCTGTCATTTAATGACTCACTGAAAATAATATTTTATGTAATATTCTATAATTTCACAAATACGAAAGATGCTAACAAAATACCTGATTATCCTTCCTTTTCTCGACGAGACACAAACCATCGGACTTAAGACATTTGCAAGAGCCTCGTGTATTTCTACTTTTGTTGAAGATAAAGCAGTATTTAAAACATATTGGCACACATCTTCTAATTGTATATTTGCATCGTTCAGTAGCAATACGCTGTTTCTAGAATACAATTTTGTGATTAGTAAAAACAGATGTTATTTAAAAACGTATAAAAAATGTATATAGTAGACAATGATATAAAAATGGTTAATTCTATCAAACTGAAGAGAGATCTCAAAATTGTCATTAATTTATAACAGTTGACAATTCTTGCGCTCTGGCAACCACGTTTCTAATTCTTATTTGCCTTCGATATCGTCGTTTATCTTGAGAAACTACAATATAAAATATCAATACTTACGACACTGCTGCAACAGCTATTTCTGCTTCACCATTTAAAATACAAACACGTAATAATTTCAATCTTTCTCTTCCGTTACCATGCGCACACAAGGTTTCAAGGCACTTTGACATTGTTTTAACATTAAGAGATTTTGCTTTTTCCACCATCTTTTGACTGATGTCCATGGACCCTTTGAAATCCTGAGTGAAAGGCAGTGCTAATATCGATTGTAGCAAAACTTTATTCGACTCCTTGTGAGCCATTAGATGAATTAAAATTTCAAAGACAATCTCTCCGTCTTGACGCGCATCAGAATTCAAGTTTTGCATGAGAATTTTCAATATGCAATTCAAGTCGTTTTCGTATAGCTTTATTTGAATTTCCTCTTTTTCCAACCACGATTGCAATAAAGCTGATGCTTTAACTATATGCAGCACTTCTGTGAATTTTCCAGCTTCCATAAAGTTTATTAACTCTTTTCTTAATAATGCCCATGGCTTGCTGATTTCCGTTGCAAGAATAACTTCGTTTGGCACGACAACTCGTCGAATATCAATAAAAATAAATTGCATAAAAATGTCAATAATAGCCTGAAAAAATACAAATTACTTAAATTACTGAGAAAGTGTAGTATTGATATATAATACACATATATGATTCGATTACTGACTGGCCAACGTGTGAAGTAAGACAAAAATTTCCCAATTTCTGAAACAGTACTTGGTTCTACGCTTAAATATTGTTTAATCTTATAACATGTTGCCTCCATTAACTTTTCTATTGTCTCTGCTCTTGCATCAGCATGTGCTGAAAAAAAAGATAATAATAATTTTTTATGTATTTCAAAAGAACATACAAATTGAAATAAAAAAGCATACTCACTAAAACATTCAGAAGCTGTAAAATCAATAACTTGAAAACATAATTCTGTAACACTAAGTGAAACAGGTGATAATTGTATTAAATGCGTCAATATTTCTGCAAATTGATACAATGAATTTATTGGTAACAGATTTGAATTAATCCAAGTTGGAAGACTTTTCACTATTTCTAAGCTATACATAATTATAGCAGTAAATTCCTAAAAAAATCAAAATCACATTACTCAACATATTACATATATAAGAAAACTATCTTCAAATTATAATTACTTACCTTTTCATGAACAATACCGTTCTTTATTATTTCTGTGCATAGGTGCAATGCTTCAATTTTTAAATCTGGAGGAGATTTAACAATTATTGTTATAGTCTTATTCAATAGTTTTTCTTGATCCCAAACTAAAACACCAGTCTTCATAATTATCTGTTAATACAAAAGTATCATCATTATTGAAAACAATACTTCTACATTTTATTGGAAAATAAAGTTAAGAAAGCAATACCTTTAATAAAGATGTTTGCACCAAAGGCACATTTGTTAATTTAATCTTTGCAGGAAATGGTGTCAAGTCCAAATTCTGTATAATATCCTTTTCTGTGTGAAACTTTGAGAGTGTCATTTCTTCTGTTTCTGTGCTATTTGTATGAAACTCAAATATCTCTGTAGAAAATATAATGCTTCATAAATTTTGTTATCGATAAAAATTCATGCATGCTATATTCATAATTACTTTTTTACTTCATTTAACTTATTCCTAGTTGCTACTGTAACATACCGTCGAGTATATTTAAGTATTCTGAACTAATGGTCTGAAACATTGTCATGTGATGCGTTGACAATATTCTAAGCATACAAGCTTGCACTTCAATACTATTTGAAAGCACCACATTGCTTGATGGCTTACATACCAAGTAAAACATTGTGCCAAACAACCAGGTTGTGAATGCTAAAAATATAAATAACAGTACATTATAAAACATAGTATTTGCACAATGTAAAATGTAATTGTACTGTACAATTTATTACCTGCATATTGCACAGCCAGTTGTTGTAGAGTTTCATCCGCTGCATTATTACTAAATGGTGGAACCAATACAGTTATTAAGGTGGAGGATCTTTTTAACAGAGACTCCAAAAGGGAACAAAGCATCTGCTCTGTCGCAGGATTTTGCAAGTCCGAAAAAATTGCTATTATTGGATTATTAATATATTTCCAGACTGAGTCTGCCACAGACTCCCTGTGAAAAAAGCAAATGTTGTCAATATATATTTGTGCTGTTGCACATCATTATTTTGTAAAAATTGTAAAGTAATTTCTTCATAAAATAATAAACTTTTTATTGTACAAAAAATTATTTTCTTATTGTTTAGATACTATGTTATTCTTCAATAATTTAATAATTGCATATGCGATTGTCAATATTTTTAATAGAGAGATGTATACGTATATAACTCACGCGCTGTTATCTTGAGGGGTCATCATTGATTCACTATTCACTTCCATTATTGTATATTAAACACTACATTAAACAAAATACTGTACTAATATGTACAGCCAGATACTAAACAGTGCTAAACTGATTCATGGTTAAACATTCCGCCCTTACGCATTTATTTGAAGTATTTGAAGCCGGGATAAAGTCGAGTTTGCATGACACATTGCGGATATATTGCATAATACATTGCAACTGCCTTTCGATTTCGATCTGCAATCAATTTCAGAACGTACTGCAGTGATTACAAAATTGCATTGTGAAGAAAATCGTTCTCGCGTTATTATCTAAAAGAATGTCGCGTGGGAAATATTATCGCGAAAATTTCTCGTAAAGACGTAGAACATTTACGTTAAATATCTCATGAAATTGTGTTGTGATAAATTCTACATCAGTGATTCGCTTTCATATCGTGTAGTTGTTCGAAACTTTCCTCACGTTGTTCCTCGCCGAGATGTATCGAAAGATTAGCAGATACACGGTCATTGCCAGGTATATACATTTTTTATTCTATAATTAACTGCGCTACTTACGGTATTAAATCGTTAATTCGAGCGTATTTCATGTTTATGAGAATATTTCGTATTTTATTTACCATTAATTTTTGCGAAAGATTCTTTCTCACCATTGGACGTTAGAGTCCGACCAATCAGATGAGCTTAAGATCGGTTTGCTTTCTGCCTAAATTTCAATCGCTGACGTGTAATTTGATATACGAGCTTAAGAATGCGCAGACAAAACGAACAGACTCAGCTCCGTTCGCGACGACGTTCAGCGCGCAGGGGTGATCAGCTGTTCTCGTCTAGTCACGACACTTTGTGCGGGCGCGCGTGTAACTGTTCGTGATGTCGTTTTTTCGCGTGGAAATCCGTACACGCGCCGGCACGAACTGCACGATAACGTTGACGTGACGCGCTGTTAAACCCGTTTAATTTTTCAGCCGCCTTCCCGCCAGTGAGCGAATCGTGATTTCTCTCGGAAGCTTTTCGATAATACACCACGTCAGTTTTTCGCAGTGACGACGGTGGTGGTGGTGGTGGTGGTGGTATCGGTGTTGGGTCGAGAATAAGCCGTGTCCCCCGTCCTCGTGTTTAAAAACGACTGTGTGAAAAAAAATCGCTCCTGATGCAGTGGATAATAACGCCGGCGCCGCGTAAAGGAAAAAGATGAGGCCTTGCGTGCTGTGCGTGTACTGGGCGCTGCTCCTAATATCAATAGTGTCCAGGTGAGTGCACATTAATAGATCGAACATATTTAATTTTTGAACAGCAAATCGTGAATTGCAATAGTTTCGCTGGTTGATCGTAGATGGAACGCGAAGACGAATTCTTGCGCAAATTTTCCTTTTGTTTACATGCTACATATCTAGATACAAAATTATAATTATAATTTTTGGCAGTGATTCTGGTTGAATAACTGTAAACATCTCGCAAGCATCCTTCTTCAAATAATTTTGAGTAGCAAGTCATGATTAGTGTGATGGAATGAGACTAATTTAATCGATTGAATTGCTTTATGTAAAGTGTGTCAGAAATTGCATATTTTTGGCATTACTTTGAAATTGAAGTTGAGCTTTATTTATTATTCAATTCTTTACATATTGATATTAAAAGTCGTTGATGAATCTTTGTTAAATTAAAAATCTTTGATGACCTTAAGTTAAATTAGTATTATAACTTAGTTGAAATGAAATTTATTAAGCAAAAGATACTTTATTTCTTTTTACTTATAAAATTTATTAAGATTCTTTAATTTTCATTAATAAACAACTTTGTAATTGGTTTTTTAATTAACTTTTCATTGAACTAGCTAGAAATTATTTTTCATTAACTAGAGTTTAATTACATTGTTTTTATTGTTATACTACTTTTATTATTATTGCAACTAGCAACAGTTATTAAGTAACTGTAATAATATGTAAATTTAATGAAAAAATGATTTAATTTTATGTGATGTAATGCTACTTAACATAACATAACCTCATTTTTTGTTACAGTGGACTGCTATTCCTAATAGTAGCTTTGGAAGGCGCACAAGCCGAAGATCCGTCTTTCTATGAAAAGAATGAGACTTATGGAACTTATAACAACATTACACTCAATTATGACAATTATGAAAGTCTTGAGTCATCCATCATATTGGATGTCGAAACGCAAACTACAGGAACACTCAAGCCTAATCAAAACGATGAGTATCAACAGGTAAGATAATAATACACAATAAAATAAAGAAGATATTTATTTACTACACACATACCCATATTTACACTCAAGACACAGTTATTATATACAACACTGTAACATATATCATATAACATACAATATATCTTACGTATTTTATATTGTATTACAGGAGGACGCTACTACAGTCTCTGCTAGTTTTGAGGTAATCAACGACGATGCACAGGAGAAAAAAGATGTGGATATTTTAGCTCAGAGTCTTACGCAGCAACCTAATCTTTCTCAAGGGTAAGTTAATACACATTGTTATATTACTGAGCTTAGCAGCTTAGTGTTTTCAAGTGATAGATATGTGAAAATATGCACATTAATCTAATGTGCATATAAACTTAATGTTAATTGATTAATATCGTATACAAATAAGATTATTGTTTGTATATCTGAATAATTGGTATTTAATAGTTATTTATGCTACACAGTCATTACATTGCGTAAGCGCAATATTTCTTTTTCAGTTATCTAAAATCTTTGATAGTGGATTGCATTGATTTGATAATATTAAATAAATATAGTATTCAGTATCAATGATACGGTCGAATGTAGTATTAAAGTAATTCTGAAATGATTAAATCTATTTCTATTTTATTCGTTATCGAAACGATGGTGAAACGATCAAGATTATTTTTATCTCGATTGCAAAAGTTCAGGGACAATTAAGATATGTGTATGCATAATATAGCACGAAAAAACCGGCAAGGAGCCAAGCGGAATTTGAAACTGACGCATTTTATATCAAACAGATATATACGTCATAATATTGGAACATATCATTGCAGTTATTTAGCACAATAATTTGGATAAAACCTCCTTTATGGTTATACGATAATATAAATAACGTAATGCAATTTATCGTTGCAAGATTTGGCTAAATATGATTTAATAAAGAACTTATTAATTAATATCAGACTTGCGCAAACTGAATATAAATGAATATCTCGACTTGTTGATGTTTTAATGATGCAATGCATAACGGATTTGCGTCAGAGTAGTAAGAATGTTGCAAAATGGTAATAGTAGATCATCGCGCGGCAATATATAACAGGTTTTTGACCTCTTTTTCTCTTCTCCTTTCCACCTCTCATTCGTATCATGTTTTACAAAGAAGAAGTAACCGTATATATACATTATACATTCTTTTCATCAAAATATGCGTATGTTTGGTTTATTTTTTCGGTTACGGTTTTTTCGATTGTTTTATATTTTCGCTAGGCTCGCTTTTGTAATAACGAGACAATACTGCGTTATGTCGTAATCCGAGCTTCTAAATGTGAAGGCCGCTAGATTATTTTTTGCGCTACTTTGCATTTGTATAGTCAGCGCGATCGGCTTTTCACCGGATCACAATAATAATGTTGTCAGCAAGATAGATTTTTATATGAATCATATTAACAAAATAACAGGGGTTTATTGTTTCATAACAATATTGCATTCGGGCGACAGAACAATATGCTACATATAAATGCGCCGAGATTTTTCTATTATTTAATATTGGGAAAAAAATAAAATAAAGAGAGTTAAAATGTAAAATATAAAATTTAACAAAAATTCAAATAAAATACGCGAAGTAATAAAATTCTCAGAATTTTTTTTATTATACAGACGTGTTTCGTGCAAAGATTGCGCTGCGTATTTTTATTTATTTTTTTTTTTTTGTGATAAAAACATCGTGAAAATATTTTGCATTGGCGTGACTTTGTCATTGTTTTAACGTGTAGAAAAGTAGTTGCAATATTTTGAAATATTTATCATCGTTTCTAGTGAACGAAACGTTCATTTTTCTCTCTTAGTTATCAGTGGCGCCTGTGATGCGAAAGCGTCGTCGCTTGTTGTTTGCACAGTTTGTCCGTTGACAAATTGCTTCACGTCGATTGCGTTACGAGCATTTATATCAAGTAATGTATATCACCTCACCACGGCGTTATTGTCGTACGAATAAGGCACAATTTTTTGCCGCTCACCTCATCACCTTGACCTCGTTTCCGGACACTCGTTGCGTGACAGACAAATTAATTCCACAATTCTACAATTAAAATGAAATAGATAATTAGATAAATGAATCAATTTAGAGAAAATCACGCTAGCGATTTCAGGCATAATGTAGACCGGTCTGTAATCAAAGATCTCTGTACGATTAAATTTAGACGCGAAGTGTGAAGAACCGGTTCGGTATGCAAAGGTCGACGAACGCGATATTGATTCCATCCTCTTAATTTGACATTTACACTCGTTCGAATTTGACATTTCGCCATTTACATCTGTCAACTGTCCCTTTTGTACATACGTGAAAAAACGTTGTCGTGTCTCTCGCATTTCACTTTCAAGAGTTCGAGAATTTCAAAATGTTCAAGGCGCAATTCAGAAGGTTCTCTCAGGAGAATATTATGCGGAAGTTTGTCGAACAATTTAGTTCTTAATACATATTTAAAGCTATATCGAAATAATAATGAAATGGAAATATACGCGTAATTAAATTGTTCTGCGAGACTAGTAAATTTCCATCGTACTTTTCATTATTTAAGAATGCGCACGACCGAAATAATTTAATGTGCTGTATAATTATTGGCGCGATAACTTAACGAATTCAATTATTATTAACTTATGATAACAAATTTAACGTGAGCGTAATATCTTTGAAATAAATAATATAATATAATCCAAATTATATCTGAATAATAAAATATTTCTAAATTACATTAAAAGAAAAGAAAATTTTTAATTAAAATATTTTTTTCATTTTTTATCTTCATCATAAATTGAATATTTCTCAGAATTCCTAAACTTTGTATCCAATACTGCGTGTTAATTGATGATATTGAATAAGAATAATAAATATAATATAATAAATAATGAACTTATTAATAATATTGCAATATTGAGATATTGAAATATTGAAAAGCTATATTGACGTGTGAGCTAAAACTAATTATGCGGCGAATGAAATGCAAGCCAGGAATGAAAAAAATTGTTGTCAGAGGGAAATGTGTTCCAACCGATTTTCATGTTGCACACGCAGTACTTTTAAGACTCATGTCAATATACATCAATATACATCAGTCTATACGCGCGCGAATGTACATATTAGACTTATGCATTTACGCGTATGTAAATGTAATAATGTCTGCCATGACGGATGTAGGGTTTCATTCGCGACCCAGACGCTAAATCTGTGTTCGCGGATTTTTCACCTAATCATCCCCAAAAGGCTTCACGATTATTTCCGCGTGTGTGCGTGTGTGCGAATACTTGAAGAAAAACGTGAGGCATCACGTTTGCACGTGTCATCTAAGCGTAGACTAAGCTCTTAAGTACGGTAAGCTCGATCGCCTGAGTCATCGTGAGTTTGTGCATCTTAAAGCAGGGGTAAGCAACCTTTTTCAATGGTTGCCAACTGCATTTTTTCGCGACCAAAAGAGAGCAGGTTCTATGGAAAATTGTCGACGTTTATTTAATCGGGTTTTTTTTTTTATTATTTTATATTTATTTACTAGTTGTTAATTACCAGATTATTGAATCAAATTCGATAATTTGTTTGAAGGTTGTATGTTTTAATCTTTGCAATGTTTATTGGCTTGGCAAAAAGAAACGTAACATTCCCGCTACAGTTCTGAAAATCTACACGAAAAGTGATGTGTGTATTTTGTTCGCGATTAAAACGGTATTTTTGCTTTGTGAAATCGATACCAATCGATATTTGATATTATTTTCTCTTGAGCGTTGAATAGATCATATAATTGCATTTATATGGCTATTAAATTACTTCGTATTTCTACGTCAGCATATTTGTCGGTGAAATATTATACTTGGTTGTCGATCAGAGAGAAATATGCGATATATTTTATTACCGTGTAGTAATAAAACATATACGTTTTCTCTGCGGGTGATTACTTCCGGTACGCCAACTCGAAGAATTATATCTAGAAATATGTGACAAGCTTTCCGTCTTCCTTCGACTTCCGTAGAAATTACAGATCGATAAATCACTGCGCTTTCTAACTTCGATCGGCGAACAGTCTTTAGCTCCACATATGGAGTATCGCGAGATTTATTTTCGATCGCGGCACTTGCTTTATCCGGACAGGTGTTCTGACACCTCGATCGTGCATCTTCAAACATTAAATATATCTTGTTAATTGGATATCTTGCGGGGATTATTTTGCTGTGGAATAAAAAAAAAAGAAAATTTCTAACAAGTGTTCCGAGGAGAAAAAAAGCACATTTACGCGTGAACGGTTTATAGGGCGTAAAAAAAAAGTACGTGCAGCACAATCAGTTGCCAATTGTTGGCAATCGTAATGGGGAGGGGGAGGGGGGAGAAGGAGGAGGGGGCTCTCGGAGAAAAAGGGCGGATTAGAAAGGATGAGAAAGCTTCGGAAGGAGGAAAGTCGCGGTTCGAGCGGCGCGACACGAGGGGAAATGCGAAAGAGAGGTGCTGGTGGAAGTAGGCTGCCGGCGGGGCGCGGATCGTAAGGGGGTGACGGTGCGGAAGGGTCGCGCCGCGACGTCGCACGAGGGCGGACGTCAGTCCACGTTCGAGCGGCCGCCGATATGGGTGCCCGGACGGATCGGTCGATCGGGTCCACCCTTCGCGATCTCGCAACAGAATTCGCCGCAGTGTATGACAGACGTGAATTCTAAGCGCGTGTCAAGGTGATCGAAAGAGAGAGAGAGAGAGAGAGAGAGAGAGAGTGAGAGCGAGAGAGAGAGAGAGAGAGAAAGGGAGTTGTGTGCGTGTGTACCGAAGCGACGCAGAGCGCCGGAGAGCGCCGGTCGACATTCCGACAGGATGGTCATTGGTGCAGTGAACGCGGGATGTCGCTAAGGACTCGGATGTATCGCTCGAAAGGCCTTCCCGGCTGATCAATATTTTTTGTCAATTCGAATAGCGACGATCTTCTGAGATACGTGTGTGGGCAAACCGGTACTATTTCTTTTATATGTTTGATTCTGTGCTTGGTTCACGTGTGTCGTTTCAACGATGAGTTCTGAGAGGAGATCGATCGATTAGCAAAATCTACTGCGATAGATCCGGATTTTCTGAAGAGTACTCTCGTTCCTCAAATATTCATTGTTACTTTTCCATTTTCCAGCGACAAATTCCTTCTATTTGACAAATCTCTTTTTCAAATAATACGTTGATATTTTCGGATTCTTCGATTCTTCAACTTTCTCTCGGATATTTGTCAGAAGTAAGTGTATCAATATTGGAGCACCGCTAATAAATATTTATCGTCTGACGGTTTCTTAAGATTAGGATGTATCATCGTAAGAAAGTGTTTAAAAATGCGTAACCTATTGATCGGCGTGGATAAACTATTATCGCAATTAATTCTCTTTGCGAAAGATCAAACTTGTCGAAAATCGTTTTTACTAAACTCCTTCGACATGTTTTCTAGCGATTTTCTTGTAGATCAATTAACCTTGGCGATTTAAATATTTCATGCTTTGAGCATATGCGTGCATTCAGCTAATTTTGTTACACAAAATTATGAAATGCTGCAACCTTCACTTCGTTACTTTTTTTTCTCGCGAGCGCGTTTTATTTATTTTCCAGATTAGTAGAAATATTATGAAAAATGCAGAATAGTCTGTTATTAGGGAAAAATAATGAGCCGAACTGTCAGCCATTTTTTAATTATGATTCAGAATGCGATGAGAAATTAAAGATTTTTCAGCGAATAATATTTGAACGATGTGAGTGAAGAGCAAAATAAAATTCTTTTTGTTTAATTTTAAAACTACTTCAGAAGAATTTTTATTTAGAACAAACTTTGACAAATAATAGCTTTTTGCCAACCCTTTTTTGTAAAAAATTCATCATGGAATTTATTATATAATTATTTCTTTACGGCACATTTAATCAAAAATTGCTGAAATTGTTATCGCTATTTTTAGCATAAGCAAAATTATTTCAATTAAATTAAACTATGTGCAGTTTAGTTATTATATTCTCTTCTTAACAGAGATGGAAAATTAATTTCAACAAAGTTAACTCTAGACCGTATATTTAATGCGCCAAAAGCTGGAAAAAATAACTTATCTGTAACACGCGTTGTTGATGTCGGTTATTTTTTGTCTCGAAGAATTTATGCGATGCAAGGTGCTTCTTCATTTCTAGACACGGTAGTCCCTAGTTTTATGTTGTTCGGAACTGGCTGATATCTTTAACGGAAGCGCGAACTCTCTCATAAATCTTACCGGTGAGTGAGACAACAATGAAAGGAGCGAGCGAGATCGAAAGGATTTCCCTCAAAGAAGCTGACATTAGATAAAACTCAAGCTCGCTCGTCGAGCTCAATATTAAGTCCATATTTCAGATTCTTACACCCTTTCAACGTTTTCGCAATGTCACGCCATTGAATTTCAGATTCTTTCCAATTCATTCAAATGCATTTAATGAATTCTTATTTATTCCGATTTATTTAAATTTATGCGCGTCTGAGGAGGAAAAATTCAGCAGTTTCCGAACGAATAATTGCAATGAAAGTCGGATAAACGTAAGTGGCGAAGCAATAAAATAACAGCAATTATTTGAACAGCTATATCGACGCGGAACACAAACGTGTTTGCATTAAGAGTGCGCCGAGCGTGATTTGTATACAAATACGATCTAACGAAATTATAAATATTTGCGCTTGTAATACAAAACGGCGATAACGAATATTGATATCGCGACGCTTCAACTATTTGCAAGCGAGTCTCTCATGGTAATAGCGCGTAACGTGCTCTCGATTCGCAAAACGCGTTTTCGAAAGCTCTCGCAAAACGTTTTTCAGTAAATCCGATCGTGCATTAATTGCTATTATTTTCGCCCCGAGCGAAAATCTGAATTAATCGTTCCGGTTTTTCTCGCTCTGCTCTGCTGTTTTTGCGACAGCTATTCGCTGCCCTCGGCGAACCGTCACGCTTGTCCCGATATAAAACACTCGTCGTCGGTCCGAAAGCACCGTCGTGTGCCATTTTAATTGCGCTTTAATCGGCGCCGCTGGCCGGGCTCCTCGCGCGTAATTACTGGCGCGAGTTTAACAGCACGAGTGCAGCTAAGGCGCGCGCATAATTACAATGCATGTGTATATGCGACTCAAAATTATGTGCAATTCCTTTTGAAAGCAGGTGGCGACTGTTTACTTAATCGCGATCTAAATTTCGCATCTGCGCGGATTTTTAACTTGGCATTGATTTACCAAAGCATAAGAATCTCTTGATTTTATCAGAGCTTGGTTTCGAAATCTTCTTATTTCACGTAAAGCGCTATGTTGTGTATTTCATTTTCTTCTTAATTCGGAGAAATTAATGAAAATACGGCTAATTTACATTTCTCCGTCCGACCGTGTTTCGGTTCGTTCTACTGTGAGCTTCCGACAATGAACGACGGGCAGATGCATTCGCGTTTAATCTCAGAAAGCATCACTGCACAAAGTGTATAATGTTTGTTCGATTAAATTTCATTTCAATACTATTGCGAGATATCTGATTCTGTTGTGTTAAAATTTATACGGATTAAATAATCCGTACACGGAAAAAAGATATTCTTATTTTAAAAATATCTTTATTTTTAACATGAAAATCTTGAAATGAGATTATATTGCTTTAAACGAAGAAAACTGGCTTGAATGAAGTCATTTTATATAGTTTAACCAAGAAAAAAATATTCTTATTATTTAAGAATAATTTTCTTGAATGGAAAAGAAAAAATGTTGGATAGAAAATAACATATTTTTCAAATCAAAGATTATAATTTTCTTAGAGTAAAATTAAATATTGTATTCTTCAAGTGATCATTATAAAATGGAAATAAGATTATAGCATTGTTAAAATTTAAGATTATTAAATTCTCATCGGAAGATTATAAATTGTTGCGTATGTACGAAACAATGAACGCGTCAATTTGAGTATATAAGCTTTGATTTGACACTACTTTTTTTTCCGTGTATAAATTTGTCAACGTAAATTGTGATCAGATTAATGCAAGTTCGTATATTGAGTCTTTCTAAAAATGATAAAATTGAACAACTTCTGCAATTTTTATTTTTTGCCATATTTTAATTAATTAGTTTACAATGTAAAATAAATTATTTTGCAGTATTTGTTGTAAAAGAGTCGAGTATTTTACACATTTGCTTTTGTAATTAAAAAAAAAAGATCAATATTAATATATCTAGCACAACAAATTTTGTGCAAACTGAGCTGGTTTTTCTAAATTTCTATCTGCGAAATTAGCGTCCGCACTGGGAAACGGAGAAATGTGAGATATTTTTTTAAATCTTCCAGCGTTTCCCGCTGGAAAGATGAGACCACGGGGAATTTATCGTGACATCTTTTTAAGACTTCTGGCAGTCAAGAAAATGCTTGGTATATAATTCCTACGCGGAAGAGCAGCGTTCTTGCTACATTTAAATCCTTTTTCTTCTGCGATTTAGAAATATTTTTACCATGATGACATTTCAACATTACATCTTTTGTTGAAAACGTAACGCCGTAAACAAGATGTAGACGTGAAAACGTTTTGACGATGTGTCTTTTACATAAATTTTTATATATATTAATTTTCTTATGAAGAAATACAAAAATATGATAAAATATTTCCAAAGATCTTTTCAAACATAAGGAATGTGGAATAACTAAAATCTAAAAAGAGAGTGTAGTATCGATTTGCGCGTCAAATTATTTAGAATATGAGAATATAGAATATAACGATTCTTACAGTTATATTATTCATTGATCTTGTAATATTTTATTAAAACGAAGAGGTTTCTGCAAGGGCAAAATGTTCAAAAAAAAATTGTTTAGTTTTCGTATACGAATTTAATGAATATTAGAAAAGCTTGTCATATCTTTTTCATTTATCAATTAGATCACATTGTTGATATAAAGTTGAGATAATAAAAAGAAGAAGAGACCGTTGGCGCATTTTGCGTTTTCTAACTTTCCTCTATTCTGCATTATAGAACGGAATTTCTTTCATTGGACTTTTCTCAGCAGAGTAAGTCGGGGAATAAACTTTCGCGTTTTCCTCGCACTTTTGAGAGCACCGGGTGGAATTTGTCGAATTTGCTGTATGCCCTTTGCGCGCGCGGAGGGAAAATACGAGAAAGCCACGACTCTCGGGAGAAACTGCATTCTTCTCGGAATCGTTTTTCGGGTTTCGACGAATAGACAAGAACCGCCGAATCATGACTTTCTTATGGAAATGAGGGGAGTAAAACTTTTTACGACGACTTGCTGTCAGACGTAGAAAAAAAGGACGATTGTAGATTTAGCTTGAAGATTTAGCTTTATGCGCAGGGAAAGTAGTTTCATCTCCGAAAAAGCTCTTTGGAAACTTCGTTGATGTTGTTTCACCTCTCACTTTTTTAAATTGTTTCGCGAAAGGACGTTTTCGATTAGCTTTGTAGGAGAATAAATTGAAAAATACGCATGCGCACGTGTAAATCTAATTTACTTGATTACAAATATTCTCTTATCGGAATAAATTGTGTATTTATCTTAAAACGATTATTGCTATCTAAACATTTATATTTTGTCGACATTTATATTCGGCATTTTTTATTTCGGTTTGCGCGATACATTGATGCGATATGATACGGTAACAAAGATTACACGGCGAAGATTGTATACAAGAAGCGAAGAAACTTTTGTATAAGATCTGATGTGGTAGAACATTTTGGAACACTCGATCAAATATCTTCTTACTAAAACGAAGCAGTCGATTCCGCGATTGTCTGTGATAACTCGCGGACGATCAGTCGTACTTGTTGGTGAAGTATGCGTCTATGGCGAATACCAGGGCTGCTATGACCGCGAAAGAACCGGCCGCCACCATCTGATCGTTGTAGTCCTTTAGATACGTGTTAATCAGATTAGTGGAGGAATTGTCCCAGTCGCGAATTAGGACGAGGCCGGCGGTGCAGCACAGAATCGCCCCCAGTGTCGTGAAAATGAGAGCCTGAAAAAGACGAACGGTAGATTGCATTCTCCGCTTAGATTTGATACGCATTGCTCATTTTTGCGACAAATAATAGCGATTATTTTGCATCCTCTTACCGTTTTCTTTGGCAACTGCTCGCCCAGAAAGTGACTCATGATAAGAATGCCATTTATAAGAATATAACCGCCCACTGCAATGTGGAATACCGCTACATGATGCATATCAATCGGCCGTATCTGATCCTGTTGAAACGGCCCTGCCGCTAATCCCGTCGCGATCACGCAGAAAACCTGTAATTAAATTTTTCGAATAGTGATGACACAAACGCTTGATTGTATATTTTGAAGTACACCGAGAAAATTTTATATCAAAAATTATTTAGTGCTATAGTAGCCGCGGACCATGAAAAAATTATACAAATTTTTACGTTTTTCGCATAATGCTGCCGTATCGTAGTAATTTTTTATATAAAATTTTTTCTCTGTAAAAAAATGCTCGCATTTATTTATTATATTATATCAATTTTTTAAATTTATTATTAAATCAAATATATTATTACTATTTAAATGGAATATTAATTAATTGTTATTTTTGTTGCGAAGAAAGGTTTTGTTCCAAAACAGTGCACATATATATATATATATTTTTTTTTGCTTGTTAAATGTCACTGTATTCGTGCTGTAACGTGAAAAAGATCGGTCACTTTATTAACTTCTCGATCACGCAGAGTATCATTAAGAAATGTGACATTATTTTTAGTGATGATACAAACGCTGTTGATTGTGGAAAGTATTTCAAAATATGAGGATGTTTATATTTATTAAATTAATCACGTTTATTTATTTATTATACATTTGTTGTACGTTATTTATTATTGTATCATGGATAATCATTGCGCCTGCCGGAGACATATCAATAATCATTGAGATAATAATTGGGATCGCAAGAACACTGTAAAAAAATTGTAACAATCGTGTAAATTTACACAATCAAGGTGTAAAATTTATGAAATTATGTAAATTTACATGATATATTTAGTGAATTTCTGTTATCTATCGTGTAATTTTTACATCTCAGTTGTGTAAATTTACACGATCATTACAATTTTTTTTTACAGTGAGTCTTACCAGTTCGATAATTTTGCAAAAGAACGGCACTTCTTTGAGATGCTTCTTTAATCTCGTGGCGAGGCTAGATGCAGTAGTAGTCGTTTCCTCAGGCATTTTTGAATCACGATTTTTCGCTCACTTTCTTAATTTGAAACACGCGCGCACTTTGTAATCAAGTTGAAAAAAAAATCTGTCGGCACATTCGCGGCTGAAAAACGTCTGTTTCCAACTACGCTGAGAAACGCTCCACCCAACTATTGACTTGTCAGTGGCCAGTATGATACTAACATCAAACCGACCAAGTCCCCACTTGTTCGCTACCTAAGCGCATTTAATGCCGTCATTGCAATAATTCCTGGTACTCAACCTTCGCGGAGGGTTCGAGAGATCTCTGCTCCGCATCTCTCCTTCTGAAGATGAAGCTCGCCATTGTAAATACGAGCAGGAGTGCGCTAAGAACCGTCTCTTGACGCTTAAATTGATTTCGCTTAATAATGATTTTAAATAACGTTCAGTTCGATGAAGCAAGCTGCGATGAGCAAGTGGCTCATTAATTTAATGAAAGCACCTGCTTTTAACAAACTTTTGTCGCTAAAATTATTAAAATTGATCTACCAACGAGTTTAGCACAAAAAACATGCATTTTCGCGAGATTTCGCGGCATTAACGGCTTTAATGCGATGTAAAGGAGGAAGAGATAAAGCCGAAGATAGAGCCTAATTTGACTGAGAATTATAATCTTCATAGAAGTGTGTAACTGCTGGAAACTCGGTGGGCAAGCAAACTTTGTTGGCAATCTAGCGAGTTTCATGGTGCAAAGGATAAAGAATAGCTATCCAAAGTGGCGAATGGAGGAATGCAGCGAATAATTTTGCATCTCATTGCATCCCGCTCAGACTGTTGCAGGTGACTTCTCGTTAGTTCGAGTTCCCCGCCGCAAATATTAAATCATTTCTCACGATCGTTTAATTCGATAAAATATCGGGGAAGAGAAGATTTATTTATTATTGGCTTCAAATTCCGTATTAAACAATTCATTCAATGTATCATCAGTTTTCCTGAAATTTAAAAGTTTAATTTGTTAGCCACGCTATGTATATCGTTAATTGTGGATTACTTTTATTATTTTCAGTCATATTTATACGCACAAATCTCGTTATTATTTTACGCTTACTCGTTTCGTAAATGATATTGGAATTTTGCCTTATTCGAAAATAATAGGATTTTTTTTTATTATTAACAAAAGAAATGTTAAATTAGCTTTTTGCAACTCACTTTAATAGCATTGCCGTGTAATATAATTGAAAATGTATTCGCCGGGTTTGTATTTAATTTTGGATAGTCGCATTTGGGATGGGAACCACGCAAGAAAACAGAGGCGTACTTATATCATCCACCTACGTTCATCTCATTGCCACACTTGACTGCTCGTTTAATTTATCACAGCTTCCAAGTTCTCTTCTGCCGCCCCGCCTTTCTCGTTTTCTCCTTGTCGTACAAAAACTTATGGAATCTTTCCCGTTTTTCAAAATACTTTGACTACAATTGCTTTCATGAGCGTCATAAAATTTTAATTCGAAATATCTGAATCGTTTATTTTTATCTTTATTTTTTTTCTGTCGCGTTAATTTTCGCTTCTTTCGATAAGTCTGACGCTACGCGCCACGCATTCCGCAAGATTGAACGTGGGTTCACATTCTACCATTCGAAGGAATCTAACAACTGTCGTATTGTGTGCACTCGTCCACTTAAACTTTTCTTTACAGATCTAGATATTTATAATCTAGACGGTAAACATTTTGCTCCTGTTATTGCGACGCGTCATATTTACTTCGCAAATTGCTCCAGCATTGAGCTTTATTATTGCGCTCGAAAGGGCGCGATCGGCGTAGCCGCGCGTTCCACGTTCAACAACATCAATCTAAGCGTCTGCGATTTGACACCCTTCGATCGTTCAGCGCTCGTTAAACGAGCGGATCGTGTTGCCGGGCGACTGCACGGCAAAACCGATCTCTGAAAAGCGGGTGAAAGCTCTCTCCGCCCGCTAATTAGAGCTTTCACTCCGTTTACGGCCGGCCAACCTATATATTTCCGCGACACAATCAACGATCAGCGTCCGCGATTTTCTCTGTCGAATCTTGTTCTACGACTAGATCGGCAAGTCACACATGTTACTCGGAACTTTACGAGCGGCTTCCAACGCTCGCGATAAGAATCGCTCTATGCCGCAGCTCGGTCGGCGAAAATAAAATTCTCGCGGGACCGCATCGCGCCCACAATGTGCTATTGCTTGCATATTTATCCGCGAGATAACGCGAGATCTTGCGCGCAACATATTTCAAAGAAATTCCGTGCTGTCAAGCGTTTCAAGATGCCAGTTCCATTCATGTGAAAAGCACTTGTGCTGAAAAAGCTTACGCGTTTTATTATGTATTTTCAGTAAGAGAAACGGAAAGAGAGGCGGATACATTCATACATTCATTGTTGGTTTTAATCCGCATTGCGCTCAAAGAGATAAAGGATTTTTGCTGAATAAAAAAACATGTAATTTTAACTTCAGCTTTTCACGGATGCACAATAAATATAACTGAGAACTCTGAATCAACTTTGTCCAAAATAAAACTTATCAAAATTTTGTTAATTTAATTCGAGTATTTCAGAAATTTACCATTGAATACAATTTTTTTATACATTTATCACAATACAGAAGTAAGGCAACAAACACAGTTTATGTTCTACACGATAAGAAAGCGGTGCTTTAGCTAATTCAATATAATTAAATACTTCACTGCCACGTTGACGAAAATAAGTAAAATACGAAATAAGAAGTGAGAAAAGTCCGCGGCAAAAAACTCGTTCGACATCTTAAAGATGAATATCATTCTTGTCATGCGGCTAATTATAATTATGTCGATTGTGATTTCTATGGAGAGCCGGTTCTGCTGAATGACTGTCCACTTTTCTTGACCTTGTTCATTTCTCGTCTTTGTGTGTATAGACAGCCTGTTTAATATCAGGCACGTGTACGCGCTGATACCTTATCGGCCGTGTGATCTTCGCTTTCATCCATTCGAGCGTATCTATCTCGCTTCGGACGGCAGCCTACATTTTTGTCATCGCAGTCTCCTGTTAACACAATGTGCAATTATGTGTATCGTGGCGTGTGTGGTTTCTAGAGTGACGACTAGCAATCACCCATGATATTTACTTATCGTTCACACACGCCGACCGGCGGCCTTATTTCGCGTCGGAATTGACAATTTGCACTTTCGCGTTCGCGCCGTCTCGCCGTACGCAAATTACTCTTCATCTCCAGTAAGAATCGGCATTTATATTTTTCTTCTCGCACGCGCAGCGCCGTTCCGACGAGAAGAAATGGGCGTGCTAACCCGTATTTCTCCGTTCGACGCGATGTATAATTTTCTCGCAGGTAATTATCATTCTAAAAGTTTATAATAATTTATTGTTATCCGTTTAACATCGACGGCTCATTAAAGCCCCATCATGTTAACCTACATTAGAATGATTAATGGCTTTTCGCTCGAAAAAGCAAGCGAGCTTTAATAACGATATTTTGTATATTTTATCAATTTTCTCTCAATTTTTTTACTCAAATCGCGGAATAATGCTATTTCGTAATTCAGACTGGCATCCAGCATTCAGCACAGATTTCATTATGGAATATACAATTGAGAATTTTTCGATATTTCATCTTATGCCACTCATTCAATGATAAAATTAATTAACAAAATTGAAATTCTTCTTGTTAAATTTGAGAGAAAGAAGAGATGCGGAATCGTAAATTTGCAAAAAGGTTACGTTCCGGCGTAAAACAATTGCAAATGCTGTTTAAATAATTATTACAATTATCCTAAACGTAATCTTCTATTCCGCTGCATTCTTTTTTCCATTATGCAGTGGCGTGGAGAGAATTTATATTCTTACATTCTTCTCTGCATCTCCCGCTACCCGACTACATATCCGTTATCGATCGATCGGCGAACTGCAGATGCAGCATGCGTAGTAAATGCAGGTGCAGCTGCAAATTCCCTCTCGACAAAGCAACGACTTAACGCTAGAAAGACCGAGCTTTATATGTCTCCTTAGAGAACGGAGGAATCTGAATTGATTCTTAAGCAGTTTTGCCTTTCCTCTGCAATATTAATAGAATCAAAATTGCAGTTGTTATTATCTGCGAAACAAAAACTCATAAAAACAAAAACTAGCTACGATATTAATTCGTCTCGAAGTTGGATAATAGGATAAAAAAATGATTCCTGTAACTTTCTAGGGTTAAATCTTAATTGCCGTTTCTTTCTTCTCGCTCACGCTTCCTCGAAAAGCGCTTTCAATGGGCACATTTACTGCGATGTCCACGTAACCCGGCGACTTCATCAACTCGCTCTAATTTACTGGATCTCGTGGTGTGCGGGTTCCCTCATTTCATTATCCATGTCGACACAAGTTTTCACTCTATCGGCCACGCCGACCTCGGCACTTCTCCGCGACAATGTAATGGGCCGACATTTACGCACGTTAAATCATCACTCGTATTGTGAACCGGAGATTGTCTAATAAAATAGCGATGCGATATATTAATATTCTCGACAACTGAAATAAGTATGCGATTTAATATGTTATTGCCAATATCAATGTGTTATCGGCGATAAGTTATTATACAATAAATAATATTAATAAGTAATATTAATATGTTACTAATTGCATAATTTATTGCACAATAAACGCAGCGCGCACCGCGAGCGAAAATCCAATTAAATTCCTCTCTCTCGTTGCAAAGCCGCAAAATTGTTTTATGTGAAGGAAATTAGCGCGATAATCCAAATTTTCCGTTACAAATAAATTCCTTTTCGGTGCGATCCAATTAATATCCGTATTCTTGGCATTGTCTCGCCACGTGTTCTCGCGTCAAATTACGTCTCTCTTGCGCAATAAGTCATCGTGTCGAAATCTTCAAACGATAGCTCGTCGAAACACTTGTTTCCGTACGATTGTCACGTTGAACGCTCATACGAGCGACTTGAGAATTGTTTTCGTAATACGCGACGTTTTCGACGGGTCGTCGCGAAATTCCGGCTGTCACGTGGCAAATTCTTGGTCGCGCGACACACGCGCCTTCGGCGCCGGGAATGACCCACGGCGAAACCGCATCTGCCACGCGAAGCACATCCAATTTCTGGGGTGCACGCGGACGAAGTTACCGCATCGGAAACTTGCCGGAGAACTTTCCGACCCAGTTTAACGCGCGTACATTTGTCGTTGCATTCGCGATTCGGCGCGACCGAAGGAACAAATCGCGAGCGAAATTTGTAACCGTGGAAAGTAACGTGTTGACGATCACGTGCTGCTTATTGAAGTCGTTAGTCATCCTCGCGTTACCTTGAGTTTTTTTTTAATACCTCAACCGTGATCGTTGCATTCTTCATCTCGCATATTTCAATGCATACATTCTCGTCAATGTAACAAGCACAGCAATCCAGCAGCAGTACAAAAATATGTGTTTTTTTATTATCAATATTAAATTTCTGTATTATTAAATGTTTTATTACTAGAAATTATTATTCAAATTTCAATAACAGAGAGCGAGAAGAATTTTGTGAAAAGAAATATAAATGTAATGAGTTTTTATTTTAATTGTTTTATTTATGTAAGGATTTCTAGCGACGCGCAGTACGAATTTTCACCGTGCAATCACGGGCTATTGAGTGTCGAGCGAGTGTCGGTTGATCAATTAGGTCTACTCGACAAACGCTCATATTTATTTTCCGTTGCGGCATGACGTGATCAGCCATGTTTGCATCCAACTGCAATCGTTGGTGTCCTTCCATTCGCGAATTCCAATTCAAGTGGGTCATCGTGCAAACGAGAACGGTTTGCATAATAATAGAGCTGATTAGTCTGACAACGAACGTTAAGATTTCATTGTCATGAGATATCGTTCGTCCGGCATGAATTAATCATTAACACTAAAGTTGTATAGCGCGAATTAGATAACTCCTGATTAAACGATTTGAATATTAGACGGGAATGTAATAATGGTTGACGGTTTATCCGGATTCCCCAATTTCCCATCGCATGGCATGTTGTATTAGT